TGTTCGTCAATAAGTCAAAGGCTACAGTCCCAGTCCAGTCATAATTCCACAAGTCAGTCCTGATTCAGATCGGGAGTCCAAAAGACAGGCCCGATGGCCCAAGCAGCAGCAGACCATGGGAAAAGATACTGGGACACACACTTTGCAACACTCGGTACTGGGCAGGAGTCCCAGGCACACTTGAGGCTGAATGCAGGCCACACCAGGCCAGTCCAGCACTATAAAGAACTGGCCAGCCTCCCATTTGGACAGATGCTCACTTCGCATGGAAGTGTGGAAGTGCCGTGGCACTTGTGCACTAGATGTGTGTGAGCTGCGCTAAGCTGAAGAGCAGCGCTGTGTGAGGAAGAAGAGAGTGCTGGCAGAGGGAAGGCAGCCATAGCTGCGCCAGCAGAAGTTAGTGGCAATAGAGGGGTTAGTAGTAGTAGGAATACCAGTGAGTAGTATTCAGAGTAGATCCTCGTGTGATAGGGAGTGTGCATGCATGATGAGTGAGAGTATATCAGTACTATAGACCAGGAGGGAGAGAGAGAAGAAAGCAGACGAGAGAGGGGAGGTGCGAGTTATGGTGATACTTACCTATTGAACGCTGTTGTTGATGTCTGGCAGCTGGTGCTGGCTGAGAGTCAGACCAGGGAACTCATGTTGATTGGAGAAGACTTGTGACTTTGATTGGCGCTGGACATTTGGATTTATGATGTGCCCTCCTTACTCTGGGTTTGTTAATTAATTAAGTTGAACTTCCTGGTTCTCATTCATCTTCTATTGGGCTTTGTGTGAGACATCGCAGCTTGGGAAATCTGTGTGAATGCATGTGGTATGATGCACTCCAGCAAGTGATTGAACAGTCAGGTTCCTTGCAAAACAACGAAATCTAATTCCACCTCGGCTTAAATGCCACATCAGCGAGCTCTCCTCACCCAGCGTACACCCCAATGTCACCTCATAGCCTTCCTGGCGCGCCCACACGACCCTGGGCCGCCAATCGTTCAACGCCCAAGCATTATCGCTGCCCCACCAATCATGCGAAGCACCGAACAGCTATTGCGAAGAACCAATCAAGTGTAGTTCAAACCAGCTCCGATACCAAATTGCAAGGAAAATGAGCAACAGCGAGATGACAGGAATCCAGAATGCACAATCACATTGAAAGCCAGAAAGTACCACAGTGTCCAGAAAACAGCATTGCACCAATATTACACCAATGGAGAATCGAAGCACTGAATCCGAATGTCAAATAGAGCTTACTCTCGTCATCACCAACATAATTGTCCAGCTCCTTCCCCCTACTTGGGGCTCAGCGCCCAGCCTACTCCCTACACAGCTACTTCCTGCCTACGAATTGACAATGCAACTGTCGACGTCAGCAGCGAACCAAGTACTTGAAAATGTCGACCAATGCAGACCATCGCCAATACCAGGTATGTGCCCTCACATCATCATCATCATCATCTCCCTCTCTTTCTCCCTTGTCTTTCACCCACGTCTTCCTTCTGTACACCCGAAGACCACCACTACGCCTTGTTGTACATCCAAGCCCCAGCCAGCTATGAAAGTTGGGGTATGGTGCTGCCCTCAGCAGCCCCCTTCCTCCTACACGACCGCACGTGCGCAGCACCTTGCTCTAGCACAAGCATCAGCCCGCAAGCGTCCGCTTCAGCAGCGCCGCCGCAAACTAGCAAGTGCCAGAATGAAATGCCAGGCAGCGAACTCTTTCCTATATGGAAAGAGTCTGGCCTGGCCTGCGGCCTGGCTGGGCTGGGCCTGCGCCCAGAAGCTTCCGGTAGGCCCCAGGTAGCTGGGCCTCTGCTGCTGCTGCTGGGCCCCGTTCGGTTACGCCTCCCCTGCGAATGTGGCCCAGGGCCTGCCTTTCAGAAAAGGCCTAGAAGGCCGTGGAAAGTATTTGCCGCTCGGGACCTGGGTTGCCTCAACCAACTGACGCGACACAACTGGCTGAACCCCAGATACAAAATTGACAGCATTAGGCCTCTCGTGATTTGTTAGGCCCGCCTTCACTTAGGCCGGGCACACTTGCATAAGGGGGCCCTTAGGCCTTCCGAGGAGCCAAATCGTTGCATATGGTACATGCAAAAAAAAAAAAAGGCGATGCATACCGTTAGAATCTACCTGTAGCTGTCTGTCTGAAATAGACTGGTCGTAATTAACAGTGTGTTCATTCTGAACTTCAAGGGCGAGGTCCAACTCGCAAACGCCTGAATATGGACATATTTGTGGAGTGGTGCAGAAAATCGTGATTGAAGTGCTTTTTGCAAGGAAAATGGGCAATAGCGAAATGACAGAATTCCTGAATGCAAAATCACATTGAAAGCAAGATAGCCGAAAGCTGTCCAGAAAGCAGAAATGCACTGATATGCCACCAATGGAGAACTAAAGCACTGAATTCAGATGTCAATGAGAGCATCCTCTCGCCACCACCAACATACGTATCCAGAGCCGTTCCTCCTACTTGGTGCTCAGCGCCCAGGCTACAGTCACACAGCTACTTATCGAGCCTACAAATTGACAACGCAACCAGTTGACGTCAGCAGCAATGACCGAAGAGCTTGCAGATGTTGAATATGCAGACCATCGCCAAGACCAGGTACGCGCCCTCACGCCACCTCTCTCTCTCTCTCTCTCTCTCTCTCTCTCTCTCTCTCTCTCTCTCTCTCTCTCTCTCTCTCTCTC